ACGGAGCTGTGAACCTTGCTCATTTATCTTACTCCCTCAAGAGAACTGCTGTTGCACCTGAAAAATCCAAAGTCTGGTTTTTCTGACAATCAATTTTACCTTCCATTTTCACCTTCAAACTGGTAAGCTCTTTCCAACTTAACCCTTGCCTGTGCCTTTTCTCCACCACCTTGGCTATACTCTGTCTTGCTTTGTCTAATCACACCCCCAGAGTCCCTGCATTCCGTTAGCCTGCCCTGACAGGCCACCTCCCTGCCTCTCTCCCTTGCCTGAATCATCACCCAGCTTATTTATAATCGATCAGTTCCCCCAACCATCTCACCAGTCCAACTCCAGGGCAGCCACATAGAAAATTCAGCAAACTGTTGAAGGGTTGAGAACCTGCATCTTGTTATTGCACGACCTTAAATCTCTTTAGTTTTGGTTCCTTAAATTGTGTTATCACTGATTGGAAAGGAAAACAATCAGTGAGTTCTGCACTTTCAAAAAATGCCTTTGTGTAATAAATACTGTAAGAATCACAGACCTGTGCATCAATGTGCTTGCAAAACCTTTAGTGTTTTCCTTGGTCCAGAACTCTGAACTCATTTCACCAAACAGGTTCCTACGACCATGGGGAAGAAGTTTAAGTTTGCATTAAGTATGTGAGGGAAACACACATTACTAAGTGGAGGAAAAAAAACAAACCTTGAGGTCTCCAGTAACATCAATTCTAGTTACATTTCATAATTAACCTTGATCTATACCTTATTTACATGTATTTAGATCTTCTTGAGTTAATTTCCAGAAATACTCAAAGGCAACTCCTTTTTAGAATGGACAATCTCAAGATCCTTCATTGTGTACATGAATTAGCTAAGGACAGAATTTGCCTTAGAAGTTGCTAAATAGCTTCTCTAACAAAAAACATTTGAAGGCTGAGTCTTTAAGGTTGCTAAAAGTGTTGCTACTCACAAAAACAGCTAATATTTATCGAGTGTTTTTACAATGTGCAGACCACTGTGCTGATGAGATTAGTATACATTTATCTCCTTTAATCCTGCCAAGGGGCCTGGGAGAAAACTGATGCACAAAAAGGTTAAGTAACTTATCCACAGACAGCCAGCTGGAAAGTCATCAAGGGGGATTTATACCTCTTAAAGCCTCTGAATCCAGAAGTATATTGCCTCTTGAATTTCTAGCGATTTTACTTACTGATACTCCCTTTTGTTCTTTAGCTGCTGGCATAAAGATTTTCCTGAGTTATCACATCCTTTTGTTGCCAGGACCTAGATAAGAGCGAAGTCTCCCCTTGACCAAATTATTTTTATGTTTCAAAGAGAGCCACTTGGCAGTGTGTCGATACTCATCCACTTCCATACTGAGTAAATTTTTACTGAATGGATGAATCCAGTTAGAAATTTCTTAAAATAAATGACTCTTTTATTCCCATTAAGAACTTTTTTAAGGAGACGAAGATTTTGTCTTAAAGTCTTCTCTCATACAGAACCCTGCACATTCCATTTTAGTGATTCAGGAAGGAGAAATCACAGGAAAGTTGGTGGGAGGGTGGGGGGCAAGGTATCAGATCCAAAAGATTTGGATATACACTTTCACCTCGGTTTTTCATAACGCAAGTTCAGAAAATTCAGTGGCAGGGGCGACGCTAACATTGAGGAGACCCTCAGAGGGAGTCTTCAAAAATTCGTTATGGGCACTCCACCGACACTCTGAACTGCTCAGATCTGGGACAAAGTGATGTTGCACTTCAGCTGGGTCGCCTGGGTGACTTCCCAGGACACTGCCTATAGTTTTACAAATGAAAGACAGAAACTGCGCCGCAATGGCAGAGGGGCGACAGGTACACTGCACGCCCCGGAACGCGCTGCAATGGCCACAGCGGCCGCCAGGTGGGGATCGAGGACCAGGATCGCGGGCAACTTCCGGTCCCCACCGGAAGCGCCCCCCGGATCGCGGCTGGACCACCCGGGCTGCGGCGTGGGGTCAGCGCGCAGCTCCTAAGTCCAGGGCCCAAGTAACTTTGAATTGATTCTGGCGCAGGTCCGGGGCTTCAAGTGCCTCGCGACCGTGCCTGTCCCCGCAAGCCCCGTGGGCGGAGGGCAATGACCCGGGACGGGGCGGCGCGCGCGGCCGGCGTCATGGGCCGGGGCCGAGGCTGAGGCGGGGGCGGGCGGGGGCGGCGAGCACAGCGGCCCGGCCCTGGAGCTGCGGCGCGGGCTTGGGAGAGGGACGGACCCTCCCTCTGCGGGGGGACGTCGCGGTCCGGCCACCCGCCCAGGCCGCTCAGGACCCGGAGACCGAGCGCGGACTGAGCGGAACGTGACTGCGCTGTTTGGTTTTTCCAGCCCCGACCGCTGAGGAAGGCGCGTGCGTGGCTGTCGGAGACATGAATTACACGCGGTTCATCACCGCAGCGAGCGCGGCCAGAAAGCCTTCTCCCATCCGAACCATGAGTGAGAACCGGGCCCCTCTCTCCTCCGGGGCGGGGCCCCACCAGGTGCCGCTGGGTCGCGTTCATTCATTCATTCATTCGTTCATTCACCTGCCAGCGCGCCCTGCGGGCCAGGCTGTGCGTGCAGAAATGAAATAGGCACAGCCCTTGTCCTCAGCGCGGGCTGGCACGGAAGCCGGTGTAGCGTGTTCCTGCTGGGGTGGAGTAGGGGCAGCGATAGAGAGAGGCCGGCGCTGCTGTGGGCACGTCCCGCTGCCAAGAGAGGCTCTTCCTGGCAGGTGGGGGTGCACAGTGTGCAGGTTCTGTGCGGAGTGGGAGGGAAAGGGGGAGCCCTGAGGCTCCACGGACAGGTGGGGGCTACGTGGAGGAGAATCGCCTGCTGTTGTGGCCCTTGCTGTTCTCTTGATGTCTAAGATCAAGGTGCCAGCAGATTCTGTGTCTGGTTCTTGTAGACAGAGCCGCCTTGCTGCATAGTCACAAAGCAGAAGGGGTTGAGGGCGCTCCCTCAGGCCTCCTTTATAAGGGCACTAATCCCATTCAGGAGGGTGGAGCCCTCATGACCTAATCACCTCCTGAGGGCCCCACCCTTCATACTATCACATTGGGTATTAGGTTCCAACATAGGAATTTTGCGGGGACACCAACATTTAGACCATAGCACATTCTATCACTAGAAATTGTTCAACTTTATGGTTTTGTTGACTATAATGCATGCTTAACTGTCTTTATAACAATATTCAGTGAAAGTGTTTCTTCTCTTCCGTATTTATTGTAGCTGATCTATTGAGCAGGGCGCCAAAATCGGTCATCTCCTTGGCTACTGGATCACCAAATCCAAACATGTTCCCCTTTAAGACAGCTGTCATCACTGTGGAAGGTGGAAAGACCATCCAGTTTGGGGAAGAGATGATGAAGAGAGCACTTCAGTATTCTCAAAGTGCTGGGTAGGTGTCCATAGATGATACAATTTTATTAGCTCATTTTCATGAGAAATATTCTAAGGCCCACTGATATGGTGACTTATGTCTTTTTTTTAACTGGGTGTTCAATGGCTAGGAAGGTTTGGGGAAGAGTTTTCAAAGGATAATTAAGAGCAACAGGGATACTTAATGGTCCTCAGTGATTGCTTCTCAATCTTAAGTCACTGGGAGAGTCAGAGAAGGCTTCTGGAAGGAAGGACCATTTAAGCTGAGTCTGAAATAGTGAGGAGACAGCTGGGTGGAGAAGCACATTGGGAGAAAGGCAATGGGTGATCCAGGAAGCAGAGATTTTAAGGCCCCAAGCAATTTTTAAATAATTATGTTCCCTTTCTAAACAAACAGGTATGTACGTACATTGCCCTGATAGGTTTATATGTCTTTAATTTCTTAAAGGCAAGCTGAAATACAAACCTTTAGACTTTCTTTACCTTGTCTTCTTGTAATGATAATGTATAGAGAGTCTATAAATTATACTTCATTAAAACTTTCTTTATTCTGAAATTGAAAAGTATATTGAAAGTTATTTGTATGTAAATTATATAATATGTGACGTGTACATAGGCCTCTCTTTCCTTAATGCAAAGAACTTATTGAGCCTGAACTTCTAGGTAGCCATAGAAATCTTCCTAGAAAGAACAAAGAATTGATTATGCAATGAATTCTCTAGTGTAAGAGTTCAGATTTGGAATAAGAAAGATATAAATTCAGATCTCAGCTCATTGATTAAATGATTGGCTTTATGAGAATCTTTGTCTGATTACCTCTATGTAAGTTTCCTAATACCTGAATCTATTGCTTATGTTTTAAATGGGAATATTAACACTGGCAAAAAGCATTTTTGGATTTTTTAATTAAATGTATAAAGTACTTGGTATAAAACTACCATTTATTTCCTATCTACTATTACTATGATTTTTACTACTATAAATTTAAAAATACATTTTTATGCTTTAGAATTCCAGAGCTTTTGTCCTGGCTAAAACAGTTACAAGTAAAATTGCATAATCCTCCCACCATCCACTATCCACCCAGTCAAGGACAAATGGACATGTGCGTCACAACCGGCAGTCAAGAAGGTCTTTGTAAGGTAAGACAGAAAGGAGAAGATAGCCTATGTGTAGAATGAAGTATGTTCGTAAATATAGTCATCTCTTGCTTAGCCACAAGAGGATCATGTTTGTGGATTACTGGTGGTCTTTCTCATCTTCACCTAGAATTATAAACAGGGAACTCTAAGACAAGACATAGGAGGGGAGGGATACATGTATGGCGGGGGGGGGGAAGATGCTGAATGTATGCAAAACCTAGGTAGAAATACTTTAGGTTAGTCTATCAATATTTCCCTCTACTTTCCCTCATTGTGAACACAAGAACTTCCAAAATTTATCTGCTCTTAATATTACTCACCAGCCTGATTTTTTTTTTATTTCAATACTGATTTCAGTACTGATTTTTCTTAAATATGGAACATGTGGTCAGGACCCAGACCTATGAGTCATTAAAACAAGAGCCCCACTAAGGGAGTTCTCACCTCCTACCAGAAGCTTAGTGAGTATTGCTTGATTTCATCTGGATTAAAGATACAGGTTACATTTGTTTTCTGCCTGTAGTTACGAAATTTCAGTATAATTTTTAAATTCTTGAAAGAGCGTAGATGGTAAAATACATCAGTAACTCATTACTCATAGACATGCTTATTACAGAGGCCTTAGTAGAAATCTAGTTTATTAATAATATTTCTTCCACTTTGTTCTCCAGGACGGATGTTATTTTAGGCTCCTGCGTTTCTGTCTTTATTAAACAGTGCTGCCAGTGAGAGGCTGGTTGCTCTATGGCAAACTGTAATTAGGTTTTCATTTGATCTGTTGATAAGGCATATATTACCCTAGTGATTTCTTTGGTCCTTGCATGTTCTGTAAAAACCAAATCAATTAGCTGCTTTACAGAGGAGGAGACTCTTTGTCATAAGATGTCAAAAGCTCCTAAGGAAAAGGTAAATTGAACATCACAGGCCAAGCTGGGGGACAGAGTCAAATCTTTTATCTCAATTGATAATGGCCCTTGTGTTTGTTGTGAGATGTGGATTGTTAAAAAGATAGGAAGAAGAATTCAAACTGGGTGGGGATTGTAAAACATGACTAAGTAAGAAGGGATTTTTCTGTGACTTACATAAAATTTACTAATAAAAGACCCCTTTGATTGAAACTGGAAAAATGTATTGCCTAGCTCTAATGGTGTCAGTAGGCATCATATTGTCCACACAATCTCCTAAATTTTGTCAAACCTTCTCTTCCTTAACCTCCAAATATCCTTGAACACTGTTGACCTCCCCACCCTTTTGAAGCACTCTCCTCCGGCTCTCGGCACCACGCTGGCTGGCTCTCCTCCAGCCACCTGCCCTGCCTCCCTTGCAGTGTCCCCTGCCCAGCCAGTATTTATTGGAGTTCCCTACGGCCAGGCCTTGATCATCTCCTCTCCTGAATCCGTACCTTTCCCTGGGTACCTCCATTCCCACTCATGCGATCAACCATGTGCTAGTACCTTCCACATCTGTTGTCCCTCTGACCACCTGACACCACCACAGGATGTTTCAAAGGCTCCTCACACAAAACAGCTCGTCATCATCTCGCTGAGATGTGGACTTTTGTTTCTGAATTTCAGTGAATGGCAGTGGTGCCTCACCATCTGTCTAGTGCAGTAGCCAGAAATCCAGGCGTCCTTCCTGACACCTGCTCTTCCTCACTCCTCTGTAGTCCATGATCGTGTTCTGTTGGTTTTCATTTCCTAAATACCTCCCCGTTCTTCTCTAAAACTCCACCATCACTGCTCTTGTTCAGATGACCCTTATCAAATGTCCCCAGGACTATGGCAATCTCTTCCCAACCTTCCATGTATATCTCACCCTTCTTTCATTCTTTCTTACTGCAGCCAGATTGATCTTTTAAAAATGCATGTCTGATAATGTGACCTCCCCCTCCCCGTCCCCTTCTTAAACCTCCTACTCGCCACCCTTAGCTCCAGGGCCCCACGGCATGGTCTCTGCCCTCTCCGTCTGATCTCCCTACTTTCCTCTTTACACTCCACCTCAAGCCACGTTAGGTTTCTCAAAATGTAACCATCGTCACCATTACACCAAGGCATCGCTTCCTCAGGGAAACCTTCCCTGAATCCCTGAATGCCCAGGTCTTCCTACAATGATGCACAATACCCTTGTGCATCTAGACTTAATAGCTCTCACCACTGCTTTAATTGTACGTTTATTGGGGAGTTATTTGATTAGTGTCCAGCTCGCACATGGACTGGCAGCTCCATGAGAGTATGAACCATGTAATTTTGCTCATCATTTTATTTCTAGTACCCTATACAAGCCTGGCTTATAGTAGACATTTAAGCAGCAATAAAAGGAATAAATGAATTTTAGGAGCCAGTTATGTTCTTTTTCTCCTTACCGAAAAACGGGTCTGAAAACTACGGCTTGAGAGCCAAATCCAGCTCTTCTTATTTTGTAAATAAAGTTTTATTAGAACCCGGCAACACCCATTCATTTATATGTTGTCTGTGGCTGCTTTCTCAGTGTAGAGGCAGAGATGAGCAGTTGCAGCATAGACACTATGGCCTATAACATATTTCTTATTTGGCCCTTTACTGAAAATTTGCCAACTCCTACTCTAGAATCTATGAACTCAAAACAAAAAAGGAGTTCTGAGCATGAAAACAGTACAAACTTAGGTTTACTAACAAGCTAACCTGTGCTTCTTTTGTTAGGTATTTGAAATGATCATTAACCCTGGAGATAATGTCCTCATAAATGAACCTATTTATTCAGGAACACTTCAAGCTGTGAGTATACATTTTTTTCTAAAGGCATCTCTAATAAAAAATAGGAAGAAATCATTGTACCTTTAGAATTATCCACTGAGAAATAATATAGCATCTTTCATCTGTAAATAGGAGAATCTTAAATGATACATGCAAAATATGTGAACTGTACCTCTGCTTTACATTTCTTTTTTAAAATGCAGATGTATTGCCACTAAAATTAGGTTGTGCAAAATCATGTCCAGTTCTCTCCATATTTTCCTTAAAATGTAACTTCAATTACAAAACCTTATTTTTTCATTATCATCTTTCATTACCATATGCCTAAGAATAACCCTGTTATATGTCAATTTAATATGACTTTAAACTAATGTTGTATGATTAGGACTTTCCACTCCGTTGTTAAATCAGTGGGTCTGTAATATCCAAAACGAGGAAGCTGATCGTCCTCTGCTCCTGTGCTCTGCCCAGGACTCACCACTGAGGATTATGTTTGTCTGCGACACTCTGCTTTAGGATGGAAGTGTCCACAAACTGCACCACATTGAGACTTGTAGTCAGAGTGAATAGGGAATTGGAAACCACGCCATGTGATGAATGGTTATATGAACTGCAACTGTTTTCCCCAAATAGAAAAGACTCAACAAAGACATGAGAAGTGTCCTCAAATACATAAAAGTTAGCCATGGGACAGAAGAATTAGATTTATTTGTACATGACCTTAGGTGGATAGAACTGGAATCCCAGATAAACAGTTTCAACTCACTATAACAACTTTCTGACCCTTGGTGTTAACTGACTTTGTAAGGAGGCAAAGCATTGCCCATCACTGCAGATGCTCAGAGTTACTCCTGATTGCCACTTAATACAAATACTGTAAAAGTCATTCTAGCTTAGAGTAGGGGAATTGAATGAGATGGCCTTTGTGCTCTACTGATTCTAACTTCATGGGTTCTTTTTATTTTCCAAGTTTTATGATATTTTTATAAAATCAATTTGTAAAGCAATATATAAGCAATTCCAGTTATAATAGCATCCAGAAGAATAAAATAAGTAGGAATAAATTTAACAAAGGAGGCGAAAGACTTATACATTAAAAACTCTAAAGCTTTGCTGAAAGAAATTAAAGAAGACCCAAATGAATGGAGAGACATACCCCATTCATGGATTGGAAGACTGAATATTGTTAAGATGTCAGTACTACCCTAAACAATCTATAGATTTAATGCAATTCCTATCAAAATTCCAACAGCCTTTTTCTGCAGAAAGAGAAAAGCTGATCCTCAATTCATACCAGAATTTAAGGATCCCAGATAGCCAAAATAATCTTGGAAAAGAACAGATTTGGAGGACTCACTTCCCAATTTTAAAAGCTCCTATAAAGCTATAGTAATCAAAATAGTGTGGTACTGGCATAAGGATAGACATATAGAGCAATGGAATAGAATTGAGAGTCCAGAAATAAACCCGTAAGTCCAATTGATTTCAGCAAGGGTGCCACGTCCATTCAGTGGGGAAGAATAGTGTCTTCAACAGATGGTGTTGAGACAACTGGATTTCCACATGCAAAAGAGAAATTGGACCCTTACCTCACACCATATAATAAATTAATTCAAAATGGATCAAAGACCTAAACGTAAGAGCTAAAATTACAAATACCTAGGATTAAATATAAGAGCAGATCTTCAAGACTTTGAATTTGGTGGTGGATTCTTTTAGATATAAGAATGAAAAACATGAGCAACAACAGAAAATAGGTAATCTGATTTCAAAGTTAAAACTTTTGTGTATCCAAAGACATTACAAAGAAACTGAAGAAACAGCCTATAGCATAGGAGAAAATATTTGCAAATCATGTGTCTGATAAGAGTTTAACATCAGGAATATATAAAGAACTCCTACAACTCAATGACAAAAAGACAACCCAATTAAAAAATGCAAAAAGGATATAAATAGATTTTACTCCAAAGCTATGCAGATTGCTTAGAAACACATGAAAAGATGCTCAACATCATTAGTCATTAGAAAAATGTTATCAACATAAGAAAGCTGTATGTGTACTCTGATTATTTTGTAAGACTGAGGCTTGGATAAAAATGTGCTTAAAGTTAAAGTCATACAAATCAGCACCACAGCGAAATAGTACTTCCCACCTGCTAGGATGGCTATTATTAAAAAAAAGAAGAACAAAACACAAATACTGATGAATATGTGATGAAATTGGAACCCCCATACTTGCCTGGAAGAAATGTAAAATGGTGTAGTCACTGCGGAAAACAGTTTGTCAGTTCCTCAAAAAATTAAACACAGAATTACCATACGACCTACCATTCCACTCCTAGGAATATACTGAAAACAAACTGAAGACTGGGACTCAAATAGGTACTTGTATGCAAATGTACGTTATGGCATTATTCTCAGTAGCTAAAAGGTGGAAGCAACCCAAGTGTCCATCAGTAGATGAATGGATAACTAAAATTTGGCTCATACAATGGCATTCAGCCAGAAGAAGGAACACAGATCTGATACATGATACAGAGTGGATGAACCTTGAAAACATAATTTTAACTGAAAGATGCCAGACACAAAAGAACAAATGTTGTATTATTCCACTTACATGAAATATCTAGAATGGACAAATTTGTAGAGACAGAAAGTAGATTAGAAGTCACCAGGGGCTATGGAGAGTGGAGAATGGAGAGTTATTACTTAATGGGTACAGAGTTTCTGTTTGGGGTGATGAAAAAATTTGGAAATAGAGGTGATGGATGCACACACACACTGACTGTAATTAATGCCCCTGCATTATACTCTTAAAAACGGTTCAAATGGCAAAAATTTTTCTTACATACGTATTTACTACAATAAAAAATAATTGCTTTTTCTTGATTGGATACTAATTATTTATTTTTCTAAACTCCTAAGATTGAAGATTATATATTGCCTATAAATTTCCAACTGGTGTCTGCAGAAATGCATGCATGCACCCACCCACAAATGTTTTCACATGCCCAAACAGAAACTGTATGTCAAGCTATGAGGAAATATGCTAATAAGAAATATCTCTTTATTTTATGGCCCAGTATTGATTTGTTTTATCCATGGTCGATGTGCTTCATAAGACTAGGACCTTTTACATTTGTCTTAAGTAGGATCTGGGTTATTCCCACTTTATGCATAATTCTACATTTGACGGCTAAAAGAGTGTTTGCTTTTCATTTGAAATTTTTTTCAGAGAACTTCGCTTACTTTTTGTTATTTTTTTCCTTAATGTTCATCCATGAATTAGATTTCACAAGATTTTTATAAAACTATGTCCGTAAGCAATGCCAGTGGGTGCCAGTCTGCCTTAGCAGTTGATAAAGTATTGAAATATTTCTGTACTGCTTGGCCAGCTGGCCATCCCCTTCATTGTCCCACCACCACCCTGGCTTCACTTGCCCCCCTCCTAGGATCACCCTGAACCTCACACAATCCAGAGTAAGGCTGGCGTAGCAGGGGGCCTCCCAGACCTCATTCCAGCCTGTGTCCCTATCTGCTGTGCCCATGGTGTACCACTTGCTAAATATTTTTAATATCACCCCTGCTTATAATTATCTTATATAGTAGTACAACACATGTGTCACGTGATTCATTAATTCTGTCAAAAGACATTCATTAATAAACACCTGCTTTGTGAACCAGTTCTTATTAGAATTATAAAGAGAATTCAGTCAGAATAGGCTAGCACATGCTGCGTAAGAAATGACTCCAATGCACTCACTCGTTGGTAACTTACAGCTGCAAAGGTTTATTTCTCCCACACTGCACATCCACAGGACGGCTGCAGCTCTGCCCACGACATCTTCATTCCAAGCCCCAAGTCAACAGAAGCAGCCCCTGTCTGGAGCCTTGCCAATCTTAGAGCAGAGGGAAAGAGAGAACCACAGCTGGATGTTAAAGCTTCTGCTTGGCAGGGGCACACATCACACTTCTGCCCAGAATGTATTGGCCAGAGCCAGACACACGGCCAAGCCTGACATAACTGGGGCAAGGAAGTGTCGTCCTTCCTCT